CGCTGCTGGCGCTCGGGGATGACTTGGTACGCGGACCGCGGGTGTGAGCTCTCTTCGGTGTCGAAGCCACGGCGCTGTTTCCGCAGGTCCATCTCGCCGGCCACAGACGTCTCGACGCCGTGGCCTGGGTAGTCTGTCGGTACGGAGGAGACCATGCCGCCTGATGTCTGGATGCCGCTGGGCGTCTCCAGGCCGCCGGGGACATCGTCGTCTTCCTCCTCCTCTTCCTCGGACTCCTCTTCTGAGTCTTCTTCCTCGGACTCTTCCTCGCGGGGTTGAAGCTCACCCCACAGCGTCTTTTCGACGGGCTCGCCACCGGCAAGCGGCGCCGCGACCTGCTGTTGTGCGGGGGCGCCGGGCTGGTTTGTGAGTCCGAAGACATCACCGCCGAACAACGGGCGGTTGAACTCGTCGACTGGAGGCTTGCCCCAGCCACCGGGGGGGAATCCCCAGGAGCCGCCTGGTGGGGGCGGCGCGTTGAGGCCGGGGATCTTAAGGGTGGGATATGACGGGGGAGGACCAAAGCGCTGCTGGTTGATGAGCCATGGTGGAGGAGCACCTGGGGGCATGCCTAGAGCTTCCTTTGTGGCCTCGCTGAGCTCACCTGGTCTAAAGTGTTGGAAATCAACCTCGCTCTCCTTGCCTTCATAGTACACCTCGCCGAAGCGAGTGAGTTCCGGCTTGGTCTGGAAGCGGAAGAACGCGTCGTAGAGCTTCTGGTAATCGATGTCAAGCTTGCCCATCTTGGGAGCGACGCGCTCGCGTTGCTTCTGCTTCAGAGATTGCTGCTCCTGCTTTTCAAGAACCGCGTCACGCATCTCTGTAATGCCCGTCTCGGCGATAAACTTGGGTAGCCTGAAAGGCGGCTTCTCGATACCTCTCTTGGAAGAAAGGTACTCCCTCTTGAGCTGCCAGTGGCCGGGCACAGGTACGACGTTTCTTTGCGCCTTTATCTGCACCAGCAGACGTGGGTCTGTTGATGAGACGTCTTGCCATTCGACGACGTCGGGGATCTTGACCAGAGCCTTGAGCTCGGCAATGGACAATTTGTTCATTTGCTTCCTCTTCTTCTTGGATAGTTTGGTCTGCCCTGAGGCCTCCTCGTCCTCACTGGGGATGTCGTCCTGGTCCCAAATGACCTCACCAGTGTTTCCGGCGTTGGCTTCCTTGGCGACTTCGTCTTCCTCTAACGACGCGCCGAACTTTTGGAAAATGTCTTTGAACATGGCAAACGCCTCATCGTCGGGGTTGATATCGTCGACCGGTCCGTCAGCCTCGTTCTTTGCGCTAGTCTCGGCATCCTTCTTGACCTCGAGGTCCTCGGCGGGCTTCTCCTGGTTCTCGGGCTCTTCGGAATTCTGCTCGTCGGGCTTCGCGGCAGCCTGCTCCTCGTCAGCGTCGCGAACACGTGCGTCCGAAGCAAGAGCGCGTACCTCTGTCTGCGCCTTCTTCTGCTCCTTCTTCTTCGCCCGGCGCATCTGGTTCTTCGTCATCTTTGGGGCGGCCATTTTGAATCGAGTTGCGCTGCTGAGCGGAACGACTTGGGTAGTGCTTGAGCAATGAAGTAGGTAAAGACCACAAGACCAATGAATCGTACAGGGTCTGGGCGAGGTCCCATGCTTTGGCGGCGCAAAGCAGCAGAAAACACAAAGTCGCCGACGGCGGAAGCGCAGTCGGGTTAAAAAGCCTGATCACGAAGCGATGGCGATGGGTTGGTTCGTTTGTCAACCGATGGAGAACAAGTCCATTGGTGACGGCAACTTGCGATGCGTGACAGCCGCGCCAAACTTTTGGAGGCTGGACGGACAATTAAGTGGGTCTACGACTCTGCAAGCCCGTCGAGGTCTAGACGGTACGTACCGCTGGGATTGGCCTCTCAGCATGCAAATGGAGCTTTGACTCGCCGGCTCCATCGGACCAGGGTGCTGCACATCCAATTCTATCGCGGTCCAGCAGTGCTTTTAGGCCCAGTGTCTTCGGAAGCACGGCATAACTCTTAATCCAGCTGCAGCATCGCCATCGCGCAGCTGCCAATCCGTAAAGCTGGTTTGCTGCAGTGGATTTCCTCTGGTGGACGCGGTGGGCTTCCCGTGGGGGCGTATCTCCCCTGGGTATGCAGGGATGACAGCCACCGAAAACCAACCATTCCCAGCTGCTGACGCTGCACCGTGGTGATTCCGATTGATTGAGATGAGGACAGCTTCCCTCAAGCACAGATACGGCCTTGACATTGGTAATCCTCGCCCTTTGATCTCAAGACCTCTTGGTTTCTTTGTTTTTCTTTCCTTTCCTTTCCTCATCTCCTCGCAGGAGCCCACAGACGACCGGACCTACCTTCAACCTCAGAGCGTCCCGTCCATCTGATTTTCTCTCTATGCGAACCTACCTCACTCTAGAGACAATGCTTGAATTCCTTCAGCTCTAAACTTTTGTCGCGCATTATTGCCGCTTCTGTCGCTCGTTTATTCCACAACTTCAGGCAAAAGTAAAGGTAAGGCGGACGAGTAATCAATTAAAAGCGTTGTGATTCGCATTACCAGCGAAGCCTGGGAAGCTGGGTTCCATTTGATACCATTCCTTGACTTTGTCCCCGCCAAATTTCCACCCCCAGTATTCGCGTCATGCCTCGCTCCACAGCGTCCAGCTCTTCCATTGAAACCTCCTCAGCATCTGCTGACCATCGATCCTCACAGCACTCGCCCAGACGATCAAGCACCGGCGACGAAAGTGATAGCGATAGCGACAGCAGCGCTTCTTCTGCCACCGGCGGCATGGAGAAGTTTCCCGACCACATCGACTCCCACCTCACCAACGGCTCGAGGGGGGCAAGCCCCGCGAGATCCAACGGCTACGCGCTCCCAGGAGCACCCAACGGTGGCGACCGCTGGCAGCCCAGAAAGGAGAGCATCCAAGGTCGCGCCTCACGGTGGACGGCGCCAGGACAACCGGCGACTCGTTATGGCCACGGTAGGCAGAAGAGCCTCGGCGACGCCATCCACAACATTAGGACTAGGGGTGGAAGTGTCAGTCAGAATGCTCATGAGATCGCCGATGCGCTGCGGGCTCCCGTCTCTCCCAAGCTGATTGTGAGTGCTGCTGTGAGATCAAATAGTCTATGCTGGCGCTGACCCTCGCATCGCAGGGGCTCTGCGTGCTGTGGTACACTTCGTCCGCCCTCACGAACACCTCCTCAAAATCCATCCTCACTGCGTTCGACAAGCCTGCGACACTAACACTGATCCAATTCGCATTCGTGGCGACCTACTGTATTTTGTTCGCATGGCTGGCCAACGTCTTTCCGAACCTCAAGACAGCGATACCCGCACTCAAGCATGGGATTCGCTACCCTTCGCGCGATGTCATTAAGACGACCATGCCCCTCGCAGCGTTCCAAATCTTTGGTCACTTGCTGAGCTCGACTGCGACATCAAAGATCCCCGTATCGCTTGTCCACACCATCAAGGGTCTTTCCCCCTTATTCACGGTTCTCGCATACCGATTGATCTTCAATATTCGATACTCTGTAAACACCTACTTGTCGCTGGTGCCCCTGACAGCAGGCGTCATGCTAGCATGCTCAGGCAAGCACAACCAGTACAGTGGCGAAATGCTCGGCATCTTCTACGCCCTGCTCGCCACCATCATTTTTGTGACGCAAAACATCTTCTCGAAGCGCCTGTTCAATGAGGCTGCCAAGGCGGAGGCCGAGGGCATGTCAGCCAGGTCTCAAAAGCTCGACAAGCTGAACCTGCTTTGCTACTCTTCCGGCATGGCGTTCATTTTGACAGTTCCAATTTGGTTCTGGAGTGAGGGAACCGGCATCATCCGAGACGTCCTCCACGACGGCGCCGTCGATTTGAACGAAAAGGTCGGCTCTTTCGACCACGGCCGCCTGACCGTCGAGTTCATCTTTAACGGAACCTTCCACTTCGGACAGAACATTTTGGCGTTCGTCTTGTTGTCGCTGGTCTCCCCGGTGACCTACTCCGTCGCAAGTCTGATCAAGCGCGTCTTCGTCATTGTCATTGCGATCATCTGGTTCCGAAATCAGACGACTTTCCTCCAGGGCGTCGGTATCGCCTTGACCTTCGTCGGCCTCTACCTCTACGACCGCACGCACGACCGTGACAAGGCGGACCGCAAGGCTAAGATGATGGAAGTCAAGCAGGAGCCCCTGCTGCCCCTGAACACCAAGGACGCTCTGAATAAGAGCCAGAACGCGCCTGTGTTCGAGAGCCCCATGGTCTCCGCTGGAGCCTTCCAATCCCTTGCCAATGGGCACGGCGACGATGCGAAGAAGTCCGACGGGCCGAGTAACGGCCGTTCCCGCGGCGCAAGCAACGCCGCCTGGCTGGCACCGGGTACGAAGCAGGAGGACACCTGGCGGCTGGGAGACCGTCAGGCCGGCATGTAAAACCCTATGTATCGTTGTTTTGTTTTGTTTTTATGCGACAACTGTTCAATGTACTATCACGACAAGCGCCAAATATGGGATGGATGAAACAACGCACAAAACTGATGCTCTCTCATTCGTCTCGATGTAACAGAAGCTCGTCTGCGCGGGGTATAGATCACGCCTGCGGTTGCACAAGTGAGGTCACCCTCTAGGGCCAGTCTGATAGACGAAGGACACGAAAGATGCATGCACAGGGAGTGAGGGCAAGAGGCGAAGGTAGGGGGTTCAGGTATATAGACAGGGCTTTGGCGTTTGGCTTACAAGATTCATGGCGCTCTTGCTTGAGGACTCCGAGGGTCCCGTGGGTCACGCGTCCGCGCTACATCGTCTGCGGATGCGCTGGATCATCGCAGCTAGATGCGAGGTGTTGGCGATATGATGTTGGGCAGATACCCCCGGAAACCCACAATGAGCGCATAGTTTGGTCTGGCACTACAATCTATAATGTTTCGTGATGAAATCGGGGACAGATGATCGTATGAAATCCCATGTTAATGTGTCTAAACATCCCATGTTAATGTGTCTATCGTGAACATTCAACAGCTCAGTCGATGAGCCACTCCTCGACCTCGATACCGAGACTTCTCCCTACGCCCCTAATGATATCCCACCCTACGTTGATCCTCCACTTGCCGCCCCTATCCATGGGATCACCAGCGGTGCCGACCTTCATCAGCAGTCTCAAGCTAGCGAGGGTAGAGAGCGCCATGCCGACATCGCCGTCCACGACGCTCGCGGTGCCACTGCCGAATATGCTATCAGCAGCCCATTCAGCTCGCAACGCCGCGAAGATGGCCAGCATGCGCTCTAGAACAAAAGCATGAGCACCAAGCAGCTTCCGCGAGATCTTGCGGTGCTTGCTGGGGCGTCCGCGCTTCGGCGCCACGAAACCGCCTCCTCGACGCTTCTTCCGGCCGTGGTGGAAGGTCGAGAAGAGGACCAGATCGTGCTTCGCGGCGTTGTGAGAGGCTAGGTATGCCGCGAGAAGCAGCAGACGGGCCGTGGTCGGCAACAGCCTTGTCAGGTCCGTCGTCGGCGGGTTCGGCACCTGCTGAGCGGCATGTTTTGAAGGAGTGCCCGGGGGTGCGCCGGTGCCATTCACAGCTGGCCCTGAGGTCGTGGCTCCGGGTCTGATGGAAACGATGCCCGGGTTCAGGAGAGATTCATCCTGAAAGTGCACGCGGGAAGCGATGAGGAGCTTGGAGAACTCGCGGGGGCCGTGAGTCCTTGCCAGGATAGGGGCTACGAATCGCGGCCAGAGGGCCTCGCAGCTGTGTCTGCATGAGGGCAATGTTCGCGCCGCGGAGGTTGTGAGGGCATCGCAGACGGCGCCGCAGAAGCGCGTCCACAGGAAATTTGTGTCGTCTTGCGTTGTGGTCGGGGTCGGTGGCGGCGGGGTTATGGACAGAATCTTTACGAATTCTTGCTTGGTGTAGTTCGGGAACTGGATATGTGGTGTGAAGGAGGAGCGCAGAAAGAAGGGAGTTGGTGCGGTGACGATGAAGACACACGTCAGGCATGGTATCTGGGCGGAATGTTAGCTTGCGCATAGTAGAAAGTGAGAGGCTTAGAGAGACTGACTACTTCAGATAACCTTGCCAGTGCGGGCAGAAGGGTGCCAGGGCCATCTCTTTGGCGGTCAATTGAGTCGAAGACAAGTACGAGTCTCCAACCTTCAGGCCTTTCGGTGTATTTAAGCATCTTGCAAAGCTCGACGGTCAATTGAGCCATGGACTCGCACTTCTTCGGGGGCGATTCCCATTTTATCGCGTCCACAACCGCCCCTACAGTCCTTTCGAATAGATGTCGTCCAGTGATGCATTGTATGGAGTTGACGATGGCATATTTGAGAGAGGATTCCTCTTGCGACTCTTCGTTTGGGGGTTCGGAGAGACTCTGGAGAAGTGACTCTACGACGGCCGATTTGCCAGTGGCTTCGGTGCCGTATACCACCAGGTTCTGGCATGGCGCTGCGGTAGGCTAAGAGTATTCGTGAGCCTGGAATCTTGCGAACAGTACGGAGGCGCATTGAGGACTTACATGAAGGAGAGTGGCCAGAGACCGAATCTGCTGTTCGCGACAGGGGTAGCGCTCAAACAGAGGCGACAGCAAGAGCTCCTCTGGAAGCTGAAAGAGTGAGGCCATGTCTGCATGAAGCACCAGAACCGACACCGCCTCCTGCTTCTCGAACTCTACGCGTGCTGCGGCTGTCACAAGCTATGATCCGAAGGGAAACAATCGGAGTGTCGGCCGAGAATACGGGGTGTCGCGTACCTTTCAGACGGAAGAACCAATCTGAGACGCGCAGTCACATGATGCGCAGACAACGGCGGCTCCACTTCCTAGGCTGGAAGCAGTGTGGAGCTCTGGCTCAGAGCCACCTTAGTGGAGGAGAGCCGGAGCAGCGGCGCATCTCTCTAACCGCCTTCGGGCGAAGCTCTGGCCAAGCCCGTGATACGGCCCAAGCGTCCCCTCAACAGCTGTGCCGGGGCTCCCCACCAGCTCCAGGTGTCCCAGCCCGCCTGCCTGGCCACCCGCCCCTCACAAGCGTCCCAAAGTTCAAACGTGCTCTCGCCGAATTCAAACCATGCTGCCAAAATCCCCGATATGGAACAACGTGCAAGGAAGGGGGCGCATGAGGGAGGGAGGGGCGCGGGCGGTTGGTGTCATTGCTTGATCTCGAGGAATGGATGGATGGATGGATTGCTCAAATCAGGCTGCCAGACGCCAGCTGCGTCAGCCCTCTTATATCGCTGCTGTCGTTCCTGTCGTTCTGCCTGGCGTGTCCACGTACCCGCCATACGTGTGATGCGATAGAGAGTGAGCTGCTTGTCTTTGCTTGGCTCATGTTGGTTTCCCTTGGCACTTGTAACGCCGTACTTCTACGAAGGATTTCCCCAACCCGGCACTAGAACCAACTGTCAATTCTACCGGCGAGTCTTACCTATCCTGCGGTCACGGTTGAGCTCAGCTCCAAGTGGGGTCACGGCGGTTGAATCACACTCCATCATTGTGGCAGTGAACTCAGCCAGCATCGGGTTCCGGCCGCTGCTCTCAAACCACAACAACACAGCACCTACTTATTTGGATTGACTTGAAGAGCCTCCTCTCTGGTACTCGGCAGTTCCACTGTTGCAACTCTCCTGGATCAAAAGGCCCTTAGTCGCGGACTAGCGGGCGACTAATCAACGCAAAAGAGGACGTGTTTTACGGCCCTTCATCCGATCGCTGGGCGTCTCATTCCGTCAGCAACGTCACCCACTCACTGAACTTTGTTTCAACTCCGACGACGCTCTTCTGCCGTCCGGCCGTTGACAGCGTCCCTGTAAAAGAAGGCCCGAGCATCCCTCCTGCACCTCCGACTTCACACTATCCTCATTACCAAAACATCCATCGCCACTGCCGAGCTTCTTCTTCCTTCATCCTCCCTCACACCTGTCCGTCAGCAGCCCACCACTCTTCACACAAACAAGCTTGTCTCCTTCTCCCTGGGGTAACGTAGTCAGCCCCATCAGAGCCACCAAAGGACCACTCAATGACACGATGACCGTCCTCTCAAACCCCGAACAAGCGAACAACACCTCATCCTCTGGGGGCTCCCCACCGGAGGACAAGCCCTACCACTCAAAACGGCCTCACAAGAAGTCGAGGACAGGCTGTCGGAATTGCAAGACCCGCAAGGTTAAGTGCGATGAGGCTCGCCCGACGTGTCGCAACTGCGTGCTCCGCAAGGCCGAATGCGTCTACCCCGGACCGGCCCACTCCCACGGCGACCACGCTCCGGGGTCGCCCTCATCCACCTCCGGCTCAAGCTCATCGCGTGCCCACACGCCCGGCCAGAGCGGCGATGAGGACTTTAACGCGATGGTCGTCAAGGAGCCAATGTACATCGCCTCGAATCAGCATGACGCCATCGATATGAAGCTGCTATGGTTTTACACCACGAATACCTTCAGCTCCTTCGCCACGCAGGCCGGAAGAGTGAAGCGGATCGATGACATTCTGAAAATCAAAATTCCGGCTCACGCTTTTGAGAGCCCTTTTCTCATGGATTGTCTGTTGGGCACGTCGGCTCTCCAGCTCCAGCATCTCGGACAAGACATCGCTCCCTCGCGAGCATTGCGCTACCGGGCTCGCGCATTCGAGGGGTATCGCAAAGCTGTCGAAGAGTTCAAGCCGGAAACATTCCCCGCACTCATCGCCACTTCACTTCTTCTTACCGCCTTATCATCGCAAATGTTCCGCGAAGAAGGCACCAAGGATTTGTACATCATCGACTGGATGATAGTCTGGCGTGGTATCGGTCTCATGATTGACATGGCCACCCCGCAGACGGTTTGGGAATCAGGCATGGCAGAGCTCTTCTTTCGGCCGCCAATCGATCTCGACAAGGCCGCACTGCATATTCCGAACAATTTACTTTTCATGATCTCGTCGATCAAGCCCGGCGATCCGGACTACGAAGATGTGCCGGTTTACTACGACACGCTCAAGTACCTGGGCTCACTCTACTCCGAGCTCGTACACGGCTTCGGGCCAATCATGACCCTTCGTGTTGTGACATGGTTCACATTTATACCGAAAGGTTTTGTCGAGCTGGGTCGGCAAAAACGGCCTCGGGCTTTGGTCATCTTGGCACACTACCTCATGTTTATGAAGTCGGTACAAAATTTATGGTGGATCGATGGTATCGCGGACCGAGAAATTGCAGGGATTGCAAAGTACTTGGGCGAGAATTGGGCAGACGAACTCGCGGCACCACGCCTGGCATTACTCCTGAACGACCGCACCGACGTTGCGCGCCTTTTACTCAACGACCCCGAGTGGGAATCGCCCGGCGACTTTTACAGCGAACCCACAAGAGACCCCCGCGCAGAGGCTCTCACATGGGTTGACGACACCGGTAAACGGTATAAATCTATGCCCAAGACCGTGGGTGCCTTGTATCCGTCAGATCCAGCACCGAGAACGAGGGCGTGGGAAGGGGATAATTACTATCCAGATAAGTTGTTGCTTTCAGCGCCCAATAGAGATTACGCGGACTCCGTTTTGCAGGCCATGGACTTGGGGGTTCAGGATATGGATATGTCCAGGTGACATTGAATGGGACTGGGCTTTGTTGGCAGGCGGCGTTCGGCTACAATACCCAGTTGAATACTTCACGTGCCGATAAAGAATACTGAGACCTCAACTAGATAGCGAATTCGAGTTTGGGACATAGCCAGGCAGTTCCTGTAAGATCTCCACAGTAATAACTTCGGATTCACAACCACTTCAATTGGGCCCAGTGACGAGCTTTTGTAGCACCGTATGTAGGCAAGATACATACGTCTCAAGTTTCTACTCAATTTAAACAAGAGGCAACCGCCCTCTCATCACCAGCAAAAATTCAGATTTGGTGGATGGGTCTATTTAATAGACTTGCGAGGAGAGTTGAAAGGCAAAGGCTACCTGAAAGAGACATGGCTGAAAGAAAGGCATTGTGGAATTGAGCAGGCTGGATGAGAGGGAGAGGGGCAAGAAGAAAAACCTCTGCAACTTGGTCAACAAAAACAGAAAAACAACCGGCCCATGTTGTTTCCCTGACTGGACCCTTGGTTCGATCAGGTGCTTCTCGCACTTCCAGCGCAGCCTCCTCCCATTAGTACCAGCCCTTGTGCGGGTGCCAATGCAGGCTGTTAAGCCCCAGGAGAGCGCCGCATCCCGGGAAGCGACAAGCAATGCGAACATCTCGGGGCTTTGGCACATAAGGGGCTGCCTCAGAGTGCTCCTTCTTCCGGTGATTGATAAGATCCTTCTCCCGACTGTAGCCCTTCTTGCCGGCCTTAATACACCCGGCAATGTTGCAGGGAAACGGGGTGAAGTCATGAGCTTCCTTCATGTGCTTGGTGTAATCCGCCTGGGTAGCAAAAGGCTTGGTCGAACGCTGCTGCTCTGCACTGAGGTGCTTGAAGGAATCTCCCCGATGGAACTCGCATCCTGGGTAAGGACACACTTGAGGGATTCCATATTTCCCGCGGCGAGAAGGGAGGATATCGCCGAGCTTTTCCTCAGCCTCGAACTTGTGGTATCCCCTAATGTGTTGAACAAGGTGGTCCCTTCTCTTGAACCCATTCTTGCCGCGGTGCTTTTTGCAGAATTGGCATGGATATTTCGGCATTTGGTTTCCGAAGGAGTCAAGGTGTCGATAGAGGACATCTAGTCGTGCGAATCCTTTGCCACACACACAGGCAAATGGTGTGTGCTGTGCTTCGATAGCATGCTGCTGTAGTTGTGCCCGACTTTTAAACTCTTCTTTACACTCTGCGCAAGAGTTCGGATGGCTTGTATCTGAGCGCCGATGACCTTCGAGATGAGGCCTGCGCTGGTGAGCGTCTCGTTCGGCCTCAGTAGCAAATCGCTTTTCACATCCAGCGGCGTTGCACCAGTATGTCTCGTGACGTAGCTGTCTTGCGTGGTCTTTTAGGCTCCAAATACCATTTTCGACGTAGCCGCACTCCGCACATGTGTCCTGCGATGAAGGCGTGGCGTCCACCAGGGAATCGCTCTTATGTGAGGCTGACGAAGTTGAATATTGAGGCCCAGCAGAGAAATCATGAATCTCCTCTCCGATTTGCATCGGAAGGGAGACATGGTCCATACCCGAACTGCTTCATCACATGAGTAAATAGATTGGATAATAGCACATATAATAAGTTGACTTACAGCCAGTCTCCACTCATGAAAGGGTAGCTTGGTATTGGGTATGAGATATTCCTCCTGACACCCTTTTTGTTAGTAAGAAGTAAAAAAAAAAAGAATCTCACGGATCCAGGGGCGCTGCAGGGCCAGGACCGCTGTCATCAACGTGGCCATCCTCGTAGCCAATGGTGTCGACAAGATCCATGAAGCCCATGTCAGTGGCGCGGAAGTCGCTCTCCCATTCGACGAGGAACTTGTCGAGGTCGGTGGAGTTGAAGAAGTCAGACATTGCGACGAAAGTGTTTGGTGCGGTGTTGCGTTCAAGCGGCGAGGGAAAATCAAGCTGTGAGGAGTTGTGTGCGAGAGACGAAGGTGTTGGTGTTGCTGCTTTTGTTGAAAAAGGCGAGTAGGGGGAAACACCATGCTTATCTCTCTCTGAGAGGAAGCCCGTCGCTGCTTTAACA